CCTCAGCCTCCTGAGTAGCTGGGATTACAGGCACGCGCCACCATGCCCAGCTAATTTTTTGTATTTTTAGTAGAGACGGGGTTTTACCATGTTGACCAGGATGGTCTCGATCTCCTGACCTTGTGATCCACCCGCCTCGGCCTCCCAAAGTGCTGGGATTACAGGCTTGAGCCACCGCGCCCGGCGGTTTGTTTTAATTCTAAGTGAGTAGTCATAAAATTTTTCTAATTTCTACATCTGTTTATTGGTGAATCTATATTATTTTTGTGTGAGAGAAATGCTTTTGGATTTAAAGATAATTTGAAAACTTTTATTGCTCTGTTTTCCTTTTAGTATTATTGTTTAATTTTACTTGTCAAAAACAAATAACAGGCCGGGCATGGTGGCTCATGCCTGTAATCCCATCACTTTGGGAGGTCAAGGCAGGTGGATTACATGAGGTCAGGAGTTTGAGACCAGCTTGTCCAACATGGTGAAACCCTGTCTCTACTAAAAATACAAAACATTAGCCAGTTGTAGTGGTGCATGCCTGTAATCCTAGCTTCTCTGGGGGCTGAGACATGAGAATTGCTTGAGCCCAGGATGCAGAGATTGCAGTGAGCCAAATCAACTCACCACCCACCATCCTGGGTGACAAGAGCAAAACTCTGTCTCAAAGAATCAAACAAAAAACTCCTGGCCACATACGAAGTTTTTTCCTCATTTCATGTGCCCTCAACATTGTTATTGATGGTACTAATTATATCTTTTTATGTTATCTATCCATTAGTAGTTGTTTACAATAATTCTGTGCTTTCATCATGCAAATTTTAGAATATAATTAAAAATGTTTACTGCACCATTATGGTATGTATCTTTCCCAGAAAGTTATGTATTTTCATATGATGATTATGTCTTGTTTTCTTGCATCATGTAATTTTCAGTGGAAATAACTCCTTTCATCATCTTTGACATGTAGGGCATATGCAGTGCCAATATACTTTTTCAGGAGTTGGTTATTTTGGAAGATCTTTTCCTTTTTATCTTGTAGGAAAGTTTTGCTGATGATATTATTCTCACTTGACAGCTATTTTTATTTTATTTATTTATTTATTTATTTTTAGGACTTTGACTATATCATACAGTTTTTTTCTGGCCTGCAAAATTTTCTTGATATATTCACTGGTTTTCTTATAAGACTGTGCTTGTAAATGACACATCACTTTCATCTTGCAGCTCCCAAAATTCTCTTCTTGTCTGTGACTGTTGACATCGTGCTTATATATGTGTGTTATATCTTCGTGTGTATCCTAGTTTGTTTGTAGAGCATCTTCAATTTTACATCTTTTCCTTTTAAAACTTTTTAGCTAGTTTTTTGTAATTTTACCTTCACATTCCTATTTTTGACATTTTTAATACTTGTGTTGTTATCATTTTTCTGATTATCAGTAGTTGTCTGAGTTCCTATTTAACTCATTATTCATTTATTTTAAATTTTTACAATTTTACAGCTTCATTGTTTAATAGTTCTTTGAGAAAATTTTAAAAAATTTTGATGAGGCCATGTTGTCCTAATATTTTGTATGCATTATAATTTTTTTTTTTTCAAAGATGGGGTTTCACCATGTTGGCCAGGCTGGTCTCAAACTCCTGACCTCAAGTGATCTACCCACCTTGGCCTGCCAAAGTCCTGGGATTACAGGTATGAGCCACAATGCCTGTCCTTGCATTGTAATTTTTTATTGAGATTTAGACATTAAAAGCAAGCTACCCATCACAGTTTTTATGATGTAGCTTTGCCTTGGCATAGTCCAACTATTTTGGCTAGAGATTTTGTTAATATCTCAAACATGTTCTTAAAGTGTGTCTTTTCTGAAAATGTTTGGGTTTTTTAGTTAAAGGAGTTGGTTCATGTTTCTTAGTAGTCAGTTATCACTTGCTACACCTGTTCCCCGTCTGTGGTACTGCAGTTTCTCTGCTGCTACAACAGTTATCTTTGGTATCGGCTGACTCAAACTGTCTTTCCATAGTATATCAACATTTCTTTTAGCATTTTATGTCATGAGAGACAGAAACCAGTGTCTGTAAAGGCCCCTAGAAATCAGAAATAAATGTGTGTGTGCCACTATTTTTTTTTTTTTTTGTCTTTTCAAAAAGAAATGAAGAGTTGGCAGTTTACTTCCAAAGGCCATATTACTATGTGATATTGGGGAGCAGGAAGTGCTGTGTTGGGTAAATGCCACAGACTTTTCTTTCTCTTCTATGTAGCTCTTTTCCTTCTGTGTGGCTCTTTGCATTGTGCTCACCTGGAGCACCGCACACTTAACTCACTTACAAATTTTCCACAAATGTATCTTTATCAATATGTTTTTTTGAGATGGAATTTCGCTCGTTACCCAGGCTGCAGTGCAATGGCGCGATCTCGGCTCACCGCAGCCTCCACCTTTTTATTACATTGATATGTCTGTGAAGGAATTAGGGACTGTGGTATTTCGCTATGCCATCTTGCTCATGTAGTTTGTATATTTTTATAGGTTAGATTTGTAAAGATTATTCATCTGAGTCTAGTAAGTGAAGTAATTGTTACTTTTATTTCTTTCAGTTGTGTGTTCTCAAGACCTTTGGCCAAAGCAGGGCATAAAAGAGTCTTTACAAAAAGTGATACTGAGAAGTTATCGAAAATGTGGACATGAGAATTTACAATTAAGAAAGGGCTGCAAAAGTGTGGATGAACATAAGGTGCACAAAAGAGGTTATAATGGACTTAACCAATGTTTCACAATTTCCCAGAGCAAAAAATTTCAATGTGATAAATATGTGAAATTCTTTCATAAATTCCCAAATTCAAGTAGACATAAGAGAAGACATACTGGAAAGAAACCTCTCAAATGTTGTAAAGAATGTGGCAAATCA